TTCCGAAGTACCACCTACGACATTGGGCACACAAACTCGCCCCTGCAATCTCAAAACACCATCATCATCTAAGGTCACCTTCGAGGCACCTCTACGCTGCACCGTGTCTCTCAGGACACACAAATGGGGATCATCAAACTGCCGATCACGGATACGCTCCAATAATGAAGAACGAGCGACCGTGCATGCTAACACCCTGCTAGCCTCAGAAATGTCCAACCTCACAAATCGATTGGCAAAGGCCTGAATATCCAAAGCAAGCGGTCTCTGGCTGACCGGAATATAAGCAAGACTACCCATGCTAGCGGACTTCCTACTCAATGCATCGGCCACCACATTGGCCTTACCCGGGTAATACAAGATAGTAACATCATAATCTTTCAACAACTCCAACCATCTCCTCTGCCTCACATTCAACTCCTTCTGCTTGAACAGGTACTGGAGACTCTTGTGATCAGGGTACACCTCACACGTCACACCATATAGGTAATGCCTCCAAATCATCAAAGCATGAACAATGGCTGCCAACTCTAGATCATGAACCGGATGATTCTTCTCGTGGATCTTCAACTGCCTCGAAGCATACGCAATGACTCTGCCATCCTGCATCAATACCGTACCAAGCCCAATACGGGAAGCATCACAATAAACTGTATAAGGCCCTAAGCCTGTGGGCAAAACCAATATCGGTGCCGTAGTCAGAGCTGTCTTGAGCTTCTGAAGGCTCGCCTCACACTCATCTGACCATCTGAACTGGGCACCCTTCTGGGTCAATCTGGTCATCGGGGCTGCTATGGATGAAAATCCCTCCACGAACCGACGGTAATAACCTGCTAACCCCAAGAAACTTCGAATCTCAGTAGCTGATGCTGGTCGAGGCCAGTTCTTGACTGCCTCAATCTTCTTCGGGTCCACTTGAATACCCTCTGCTGATACGACATGACCCAGAAATGCAACCGAACTCAACTAGAACTCACACTTCGAGAACTTAGCATATAACTGACTATCCTTCAGAGTCTGAAGAACCACTCTGAGGTGCTGCTCGTGCTCCTCCTGGCTGCGGGAGTACACCAGAATATCATCAATAAAGACTATCACGAACAGGTCCAAGTAAGGTCTGAACACTCGGTTTATTAACTCCATAAATGCTGTTGGGGCATTGGTCAACCCAAATGACATGACCAAAAACTCGTAATGCCCATACCGAGTGCGGAATGCTGTCTTAGGGACATCAGACGCTCTAATCCTCAGCTGATGGTAGCCAGATCTCAAGTCTATCTTTGAAAACACTTTTGCACCCTGAAGCTGGTCAAACAAATCATCAATCCTCGACAGTGGATACTTGTTCTTTATCGTCACTTTGTTCAATTTCCGGTAATCAATGCACATCCTCATCGATCCATCCTTTTTCTTCACAAATAACACCGACGCACCCCAAGGAGAAACACTAGGCCTGATAAAACCCTTCTCTAGCAAATCTTGCAACTGGTCCTTTAACTCCTTCAACTCTGGCGGGGCCATCCGATACGCCGGAATAGAAATGGGCTGCGTGCCTGGGGCCAGATCAATACAGAAATCAATATCCCTGTCGAGCGGCATACCCGGCAGGTCTGAAGGGAAAACCTTGGGGAACTCCCGAACAATAGGAACAGAATCAATAGAAGGGACCTCTGTGCTGGAATCGCGAACATACGCCAGATAAGCTAAACACCCCTTCTCGACCATGCGTCGAGCCTTCACATATGAAATAACACTGCGGGTGGCATGACCTGGGGTCCCTCTCCACTCCAATCGGGGCAAATCCGGCAAAGCTAAGGTCACGATCTTGGCGTGACAATCCAAGATAGCATGATACGGGGACAACCAATCCATCCCTAATATAACGTCGAAATCCACCATGTCTAAGAGCAATAAATCAACACGGGTCTCAAGACCCTCAAACACTACCACACAGGAACGATGAACTCGGTCGACCACTATAGAATCACCCACCGCTGTAGATACATAAACAGGAATACCAAAGCATCACTAGGCATAGCCAGGTAGGGTGCAAAATAGGACGACACATATGAATACGTAGACCCAGGGTCAAATAGCACTGAAGCATCCCTATCACAAACCAGAATAGTACCTGT